AGAAAATATTCCAAGAATATGTAATTTGAAGGAAGTCTGGTTGAAAATAACGACCAAAGAATACAGAAGATATGAGAAACAGAGAGGGAATTATAAATCTGCTTCTAGGAAGAATTAAAAAATAAATTGCTCTCTGTAAACTGATTTACGAGCAGCACTCGTTGATAAAAACCATAAGAGAGTAACACTGAGACTAAAAACCCAGCGCAATAAATGATGTGATTTGTTGTTAAAGAATAACAAATGAATTTACATAAACAATATTACATTTGGGAGGTTACAAGATGTAGATAAGACTTTGGGAGATGAAATGTACTGTCCGAGTATAAAAGAATTGTTTATTTCTGTGGTTTTAATTTTGGATATTGCTAACAACACACACACACACACGCATATATATATATATATGTGTGTGTGTGTGTGTGTGTGTGTGTGTGTGTGTGTGTCGCGCGCAAATATATAGAAAAATAGAAAAGAACACGTTAGGTAAATAATCCGAAGTTCTTTGGTATTTTTGTTTTTATTTTTTAAATAAACAGTGTTCAATACAAAAGTAGAGCCTAAATTATAATTATTTTTAAAAAATATGATTCCTTCACAACATAAAGGTTGTCATGTTTCAAAAACAAGAGACAAAAACTTCAATATTATTAAAATTAAAGTATCAACCTTTGTTTCATCTTCAAGCGAAATTTTTGATTCTAAAATTTTCGCTGGAAGATGAAACAGAGCTTGATACTTTAATTTTAATAATTATATTGAAGGTTTTGACTCTTATTTGGTGTCTAACTACACTGCCACATCATGTTCAATCTCACATCACAATTAAATCTTAGCTGATCCACGGTTGCACATTGATGATCTACCAAAATATGGCATTATTTAATGTAACTGAAATTGGTCCATACTGAGAAGATTTTCGCACGGGAAGACGTGTTAAAGCAGAATATATTTTTTAGATTATGGAAAAGCGTTTGATAAAGCAAATCACAAAAAATTGTTAGAACTGCTACGTAACCTTGGTATATTTAGGATTAGAATAATCCTTATGCTGGAAGCAAATAACCTGCATATGAATAGAAAATGAATTCAGTAAATATGCAAAAATAGAAAGGGGTGTAAGACAAGGATGTGTCTTCTCACCGGAATTATTCAACCTATATAGTGAAACGATTCTGAGAGAACTAGAAGTCCTATTCAGATTTATTATTGGCGGATACAGTCTTCAGGTATGAAGATCGCACGGTGTTAATAGCAGACGCAGAAGGGAAAGTACAAGAACTCCTACAGAAGATAGTGAAGGATAGCGAGAAGAAAGGACTAACAATCAACTGTGAGAACCCAGAATGTATGATTGTTAGCAAAAGGAACCGCCCAACATGCAAAGTAACATATTGGAGATAGCAAAAGATGCCTCCCAAAATCTCACATCGCAATTAAATCTTTTCAATGGCTGTATAGTGCTTAGTTTTTGTATGAACTGAAATCACAGGTTAAGAGGGTAATTAAACAACGTTTTTTTCTGTTTTTGTAAATTGAATCATTTTCTTCTCTGTGTCCCTTGAGAACATCTGTAATCATGGCAACCTGCTATTCCTTATACCCTTTATTTTATAATCGAATTCACTAAAAGCAAAGCAGTAAAGCCACTAAGACATTTGATAGTCTTTAAGAAGTGTGCTCTCTAACTGGCTCCTTTGCTCCTTAAACTGTATAATAAATGCGCAAAAGAGGTCACTCTCCTGGAGGACCACATTCAGTCAAGCTGATGGAAAACAGAAAGGGGTATCTCAGAGGATTAATAAAGAATAGTTTAGTTTTGAAGAAGTTTACTTTTAACAAGCCGTCTTTTGCCCCTGTTAACAACAAACTGATGGTCGTTTCTGACATCAGTGGCCATTTTGAAATTATCGAACTGACCATACTTACACTTGAGACAAGCAGAAATTGTTGTGTGATCATCGTAGAGTTGATGCCATCAGGATGGTCATTAATGAGAATTAAGAACAGAGTAGAACTAATAAGGGGCCCTGGCCGACACCTTCTTTAGTATGAAAGGATCTAGAAGTGTAGCCGTCCAGGATAACATTTATTTCACAATTTGACAAGAAAAGAGTTTTGTCCCTTTGCGATCCATCTCACCCCACGTTCCGCTATTCATCCACAGAAGCTGGTCAACTAGGAGAACGACTACCTTCCTCTGTCTCTTTTGACTTCGTTATGTCCTGTGACTGTCAAATTCACCAAACTCTCCTTTTTAATTATGTGTTCAAGAAATTCTTTCTGATTCTGGGTATAAGGTTCTTTTTTGTTTGCATTTTCCTGAAGATTTAAGTGACCAGTTCATTCTATTCTCAACATCGTTCTGTAGAATAATATTACATCTGCTCTTTTCTTTATATGTGAGGAAATTGTCCAGAATTCATGGCTATATAGAAGGATGTGTACTAAACTAAATAAATTATTTTTTTATAATTTTTTTCCAATTATATTGCCCATTAAATAGATATAAATGCATACATGTATGCATATATATATATATATATATATATATATATATATATATATATATATGTGTGTGTGTGTGTGTGTGTGTGTTTTTGCGCGCATGTGTATGTTTGTGATATAGAGATGGAGACAAAGATAAATAAGTGTGTGTCTGGGTGCGCGTGCGCGTGTGTGAGAGAGAAAGAGAGAGAGACAGAGAGACAGAGAAAGAGAGAAATTGACATTTTCCTATGATGGCAAAATTCGTATTTCCCACTGACGTTGATAGTCGGAGTTTAAGTGATTTCAGGTCTGAGTACTAATTTCTATGACAGTCAAACAGTCAGGGAAAATTGGTACATTAGTTCGCCCGTCTATTCCCCTGTCTGTTTGTTGTTGTTAGGAACTAATTTAAATTCTGCGACTATCTCGAGCCATGTTTCCATAAAAATACGCATCGTCGGCAGAGACCTGGTCAAACAATTTTTTCATTTGTCTAAGAAAACTGACCCTAAAATGAAATTGCTTTTTTTTAAAAAAAACAAAAACAAAACTTTGCTATCGTTTATAATTGTTAGTAAGATAATACTAATAAAAATACGGATGAAATTATTAAGAAATATTTGTTTTTAAAAATCTACATTATTCATGTTTCAAAAATGAATAAATACAAAAACCAAAGTATTTGAATTTTTTTTAATACAAACTTGTTTCATTTGAACATTTCGTTTAAATTACGTAGAATAATTTTACAGAGAAAATTTCTTTGTCCATACTCAAAGTAACTATTATTATTCTTTAAGAATTATGCTTTTCCTATTCATGTAAAACATATTAACGCATTGCAATTCTTCACCTGTAGATGAGCGGGTGACTTAATGTATAGTGGCTTGAAATACATTAAATAAAACTCGCAATTAGAATTTCAGTCGGGTTAGATTAGTTCACTCAAATACCATCCGAAACGCAAGAACCTACCTTTTCCTTCCATCTTGGTAGAAATATAAGACTACTTTCTGGTGGTGGGGGAATTGTTGTTTAGAAAATATTGTTAATGCAATATTTACTTGCAAAAAAAAGTTCTTACCATCCAAAATATGTTTCGGCTTTAAATAACTTACAAAGGGTTGATAATCCATAAAAAACAAATCAAATCTATCAACTTAATTATTCACAATTAATAAGTTGAGTCATTGTAAAATATTTCCATATAAAATCACCTGCTAATAAGTGGATTGTTATTTATAGGGGGAAGTGTATATCTGCTCTGCCTCATGAGGTTGACCTTAGTGATCAGATGCAAGACAAAATAAGGAAGCCGATTTTGATTGGCTGAACGAGAGTTGGAATGAGAGAGATATAGATAGTTTTTTCAGAGAGTTAACTGTCAAACAATGTAGACGTGTTTTCTTTCGTGTCTGGAACTGATCCCCAGTGGAGTGAGAAAGCGATCCCACTGAATAGTTAAAGATGTATACGTCGACATTAATAAACTAGTTAAGTAAAATTCCCTGTGTTGAAATACTTTTATCTATGAATCAAAACAACTAGCGATCATCGGTCGAGAGAGAAGAATGCAACTTTATTATCGAATTGATGCCATCGCCCAAGATCTCCCCAGCACGGGGGAGATATATAACTTAGGCTCAATTTGGCACAGTGACCAAGACCTCCCAGCATGAGATTAAAGTTATTTTTCGGAACGGTTTTTTGTATTTTAAATTACTTCATAATAAGCAAAAATATAGCATATAAATGTTTTTTGTTATTAATTCATTCAAGTTTTTCATTAAATAAATTAACAGAAAATATATAATTTTCTTGCCTTGTTTCTTAAAGCAAAATTACTTCATACAATTCATACCTAACGTTTTTCGCATATTTAGCTAAAATAATACAAATATCTGAATTCCAGTCGTCCAGCCTTCATTTTATATTCAAATTTCATTTCCCAGTTTAAAAGAAAAGAAACTTATTTATTTATTTTGGGAGGAGGTGCGCGCGTATATGTGTTTCATTTATTAAGAGCCCACCACTATTTCTACGAATTGAGAATTCATATTTTATTTTAATGATTAGCTGCTTAAAAAGCATTTGATAAGCGACTAGACAAAGAACTATATGAAGTGTTAGAAAAATTTGATCTGGGAAAAATACAGGAAAAATGCAGAACATTTACTGAAAACAAACCGCCTTCCTATGGACAGGAAATGAATTGAGCAATTACAGAAAAGCAAAATAGGTTTTAATATAATGTTGTGTCTTTTGTCATGATTTATTTAACCTATATAGCTAGAGGACCCTAAGAGAACTAGAAGTCCCACCAGGATATATTATTGGTGGACAAAATCTTAACAACACGAGATATGGAGATGGTAGAGTCTTGATGCAGAGACTGAACTAAAATTGCCGGAACGCATGGACAAGGTAGTCAAGGAAAGCGGGATAAAATGACTCATTGTGAAAAGACAGAATGCGTACTCGTTATCAAGATGGTCAAAAGCTTACAGCTACATCACGTTGAAACACTGATTTCCGTACGATCACTGAAGTTAAGCAAAGTCAACCCTGATCAGTATCTAGATGGGCGACCCCTTGGGAATAACAGGTGTTGCAAG